CGAGCCGGCGGGAGGGACGGGGCGGGGCGCAGGGCCGTGGGGCCGGCCCTCTCCCCTCCCCCCTCTTTCCCCCTCCACCCAGACCCCAACCCTCGCGCGGCTCCAGCTTAACCCCTGCCGGGCCGCGGCGAGGGTCGGAGTCGCGGCCGCCCTCTACCCTTCCTCAAGCCTCGATGAGATGTCTCTCCAAGGTCCTCCCTCCACCCCCGGCCTTGGACGTTGTGTCGCTCGACTGCCCTCGAGGCGCCCCTCGGAGCCCCCCCAACACTCATTCCAGGCAGAAACAATAATGGGGGCCAGTTGCACCCGGGGGCGCGCCCCTGCGCAACATACACACACACCCTGGGGCATTGCCTTGCACGGCTGCATGATGGATTGTGTTTGGTACCTCTTCCAGAAAGTCGCCGCGTCCTACCCCCATCCCACCCTTTCTCTGCTTGGGTTAACACCTGGGGCCCGGAATCTCCAGGGGTAGAGGACGTTGTGGTCTGAGGCCGGCTGGCCAGGGACGCGAGGTCAAGGGGCCCCCTCTCCAGCATTTCAAGCCTCTTGGGCAGGCGCCCACCCGCCCAGCGGGGCTAGAGGCGGCGGGAGTGCCCTCCACCCCTGCGGGGCCTGTCCTTTTCTCCTTTAATTTCCTCCTTCTGTGCTTTACAGAAAGGGCTTGGCCCAGCGGCCGGCGGGACTGCAGATGTCTCTTCCAGGCTCCCTGTAGCCTCCCAGCTGCCGCCCTGCCTGCAACTCCCCCTATCCCACTCTAGAACCTGAGCAGGGGCTCGACCAGCATTTATTTAGCACCCTTAGTATGCAAAGCCAGGCCTCTGAGCAGGGGAAGTCTGAGCCTCTGGCTCTGGGCCTGTTAACGTTTAACCTGGTTTAACCGGCTGGAAAAGCCCTTCCTTGGGTGACCTTTCACCTTGGAGTCCGGCAACTCCTGCCACCCCCAGCCCGTTCTCCCCCCTCGGTCCCCCCACCCAGCCCTGGGCCCAGAGCTGGACATAAGAGCATGTGGAGGCCTCTGAGAGGTGTGGGCAGGACAGCAGTCTCTCTGCCTCTGCCTGCTCTAATGCCTCCCCGCTTGGGAAGGGGCCTTGGGAAGAGGCCTCCCCGTCCTGCGAGATGAGATTCGAGGGGGAACCCTCCCTGGGAGGAAGATGCTTGGAGATCATGCAACACTTAAAAAGAAGCTGAGATTCAGCGAGAGCCAGGCATGCCCAGCCCTGGGCCACTCAACTCCCAGAAAGGGTCTGGCTGGGTGCAAGGTAGAAGAGACCTTAGTAAATACAGAAAGCAGGAAGGACTAGGGTTAGACATGAGCAAGGACTTCCCATGGGTCTGCAGTGGGCTTCTGTCTGCAGCCTGATGCAAACCCTTCTGAGGGAGGGGACCCTGGGTGGGCAGAGAGGACCCTTTGGCTCTGGGGCTGAGTGGGAATGTGAGGGCGCTGGCTGGTTATGTGGGGTGAGGACAGGGGCCCTAGGCCCCTGGCCTGGATCTGCTGGGGGTGGTGGGGACTGAAGATGGGTTCCAAGAAGGGATCAAAAAGGGTGAGTTAGAAGGGAGAAAAGGCTCAGGGAAGGGAGTGGGGTGAGATGGGGAGGGGAGGGGACAGGGAACTGGGTTTAAGGGAAACAAATCTGGAGAAAGGTACAGAAGTGAGGGGCTGGGGCTGGGTGGGAGACAGATGAAGACGCACCCCAGATCCCAGAACCTCCAGTTGTTCCAGCACCACCCCCTCCCAGTTGCCCCGGCGCCCCTTGCCCCCTGGGGCCCCCTGGGGAATGGATCGGGCCTTGGTCCGCCCCCTGACCCCTGCCCGCAGCCCCGCGGTGACATTTGACCTTGTGGCGGCTGCGGACCAGGGACAAAGGGGACCGGGCCCATCTGCCACGGTGGCGTCTGTGGGAACAGCCAGTGCCTGCTCCGGCAGTCTGGGAACCTGCCCCCACTCCCCCTCCTACAGGTGACCTTGGCTCCCTTTGCAACCACAGGGGCAACCTGGTGGGACACAGGGGCAACCTGGTGGGACGTAGGGGCTAAGGTCACTCCTAGACTCTTGGAGAGGGAGGGAGGGAGGTTAGGAGGGAGGAAAATCAGTTCCTTTGTCCTCCCAAGGGCAAGGTGGCCCGCCTCAGTTTCCCTCCTTTCTTCAAAGCTGGCCTGGGGTCAGAAAGAGCAGGCGCGGGTCCAAAGATTATTAGCCCCAGCGCTTGCCAGAGGAGTGTGTGTTCCCCACCCCTTATTTTGCCTCTTGAGTGGGAAGGACCAGGTTTGAGTCCAGGCTACTGAAGACCTCAGGCAGGTGTGGCCCTTTTCTGGGAGAGACAGCAACCAGCACACACCTGCACAGGTGTGGTCTGGAGCACCCGCCCCCCAGCTGGGGATGAAAACCTTTCTAATCCCTGTCTTGGGTTTCAGCTACCGCCCATGAGGGGACAGCTGGCCCCTAATCCCAGAGGTACTGGGTTGTTCCTAGCGCCCCTTTCCCAACCCAGCCAGCCTGTAATAGACGAGTGGGGTGTGGCCTATGCAAATGATATACTAACCAGATGCCTGCTATCAACCTGGCACAGACACCTCCCACAGCTCCCGTCCCCAGGAGGAGAAAGCTGGAACTTCTCACACTGAACAGGGCCAGCCAGTCCTCCTTTCCTACCACCAGCACCTACTCTGACTTCCTCAAGCGCCCAAGTTCGAGGTTTTTACCCTTGCAGTGCCACCATCCAGAAACCCTTTCTTTGAATGCAAGTTCCAAAGCCATCTCCAATTCTTCCTGCACTCACCTCCAGCCTGGGAGCAACACTCTTACAGCTAACATCCCACACCCTGAACCTGAACCATTCCAGCCTCAGTCTCCCTTCTGGGATATAGGCATCTGCCTCTGTGATCATCTGCCAGGCCAAACTCAGCATCTCCCTGGAAGGGGATGGGCAGGAGCAGATGTGTCCTGTCCCCACGGATACCTCCCTGGGCATCTGGAAACCAATGAGAGTTGGAACTTCAGCCCTGGCTATGCAACCTCACTAAACCCCAAATTGTCCCTGTCCCCACAGCCCAGGATGCTTCTGGCCCGACCCTACTGACTTATCAAGTTTATACCCCACATAGTGCCATGCCAAAGACACTGAGTCTCAAATGCCCAGCCATCCCCCAACAGGCCCTGGACACCCAGGTGCATCAGCCCCCATTACACCAAACACGTCCCAACACGCAGTCACTCCACATGACATAACATCACTCCAGGACAGTTTATGACACAGTCTGCTACAACTGTCTGGCACGTCTAGACATGGCCAGGTATGGAGCCTACAGAATGGTCTCCCCCAGCTGGGGAGGAGGGCGGGGAGGCCTGGGCCTTCCCAGGGCGCTGGCGGTGGCTTCCAGGGCTGCTAGCTCCTCGGCCTGCCGGGCCTCGATTAGTGCCACCTGCTGCTCCAACTTCCGCCGTTGCTCTTCCTGCTTCCGGTGGGCTCCTCGGAAGGCCAGGACCAGGGCGCTGGAGGGGGTGGGTGGCTGAGCTAGGAAACAGCCACCCACTCTGCCCAAGGCGGGGGCTATGTATTCCCATTCCTGGACTGGGAGCTCTTTGAAATTGGGTCTTCCCAGGGTCCCAGCATCTCTCAGCCGGGCTGGGCACACATTAGACAGCAGAGGAGGTATGGGATGGATTGAAGTTGCTGCCTATCTTACAGGGTGGAAGCTGAAGCCCAGAGAGGGCCAGGGCTGCTTCTGAGATCACCAGTGAGGGTACAGGATGGGGGGCCCACCTGTGAGCCTTGCATAAATCGCTGTTCAGCTCAGCACTCTGAGCCCGTCTGGCTCGCCCCTTCTGAGCCACCTTTTCCAGCTTTTGCCGCAGAGACTGCAGCTGCTCCTGCAGGTCCAGGGACCTGGTGCAGGGGTGGGGAGAGAGAGGCTTCAGCCAATCCTGTCTCCCTCTCCTTCTCCCACCTACCTGCCCATAGTGTTTCCATGTGGACACACCTGTACACAGGTGCACATCTTGGCCTCTGCTGCACATGACACCCTCATGGGCTCTCACATATGTCCCCCACCCTAGTCCACCCATCCCCCAGCCCAGGACCCAGGCACACACCGGGTAAGCGACGCTGCCAGTTCCTGGGCTAACTTCTCTGAGTCCCATACTCTGCAAACCTGGCCTCCATCAATGCCACTGGTGCCACCAGGGACAGCAGGAGAGCCCTAAGGGAGGAAGAAGAGAGGAGAGTGACATTAGCTTAGGCCTTGTGTGTGCTCAGCTCAGACTGGATACCAAAGCTGCCCGGACTGTGGGAGCCACAGTCTCTGCCCTCACAGAGCTCCCAGTCAGGTGAGATACCCCAACGAGGGTAAAATTACTCCCTGACAAGGGAAATAAATAACAGGGAACCTCATCTAAAGGCAGTCCAGGAGGGCTTCCTTGAGGGGGCGATGTCTAAGCTCAGATCTCCAAGAGGTTGAGGACTTTATTATGCAAACACGGAAGTGACTAGTGTTCCTGGCAGGGCATAGCACCTACAAAGGCTTGGAGGTGGGAGAGATGACTCCAAGAGCTGCATTAAGAAGCCTGGATTTGGAGGGTTCTGGAAGCCACTGAAGGCTTTATGCAGAGGAGAAACACAATCAGACAGGGAGGGGGAAAGAAGGCCTCAGGGAGGAGGTGGGAGCCAAAATCATGGAATAGACAAAGTTCTGGCTGGGGCTGTGAGGGATGGAGAGTGGGGATGCTAGGCCTGGGGGTGAGAAAAAATGGAGTTTTGAGTGGAAGATGATAAACCCCCTGAGACTTATTGGGCTCAATACCCTCAAACAAAGGAACCCAAATAACAGGTGTAGATTTCGATATGTGAAGCCTAATGATTCCCCTTGTTTCTTGTGCACAATTGGAAACTGAAGCTCAGAGGAGGCTGTGACTGACCAGGGCCACAAAGCCAGTAGTATACTGCTGTCCCTACCAGGTCCAGACAGGGCTGCTCACCTGGGACCACTCCTCTTCGTCCCCACTGCTCCCACCTCCGCTGCTGTCTCCACCACTGCTATTTGCCCTGCCAGCCTGGAGTTGTGCCCGTTCCCACTGCAGCTGCTCCAGCAGGAGCATGTGGGCTGGGCCCTGGGCTCGGAGGGCAGCCTCCCGCAGCTCCAGGTCCCGCTTCTCCCGCCGCACCAGCTGCAGTCGCAGCATCAGGTCCGCCAGGGACTCCTGAGGGATTGAGGAGAGGGCAGAGAATATGTGCCTCTAGGGTCAACTGCTGGGGAAACTGAGGCCCCAGGAGGCACCGGCTGGGGGCTGGTTAGGCAAAAACTCTGACCTAGGGCTGGCCAGTTAGATCAGTTGTTTAGAGGGTGGTGCTGATAACACCAAGGTCAAGGGTTTGGATCCCTGTACCAGCCAGCGACCAAAACAAACAAACAAAATACTGTGACCTTTACCATCACTTGCTAGGTAGAAATACCTTCCACTCATAAAAGCTACAGCTGTATGTAGAAGTAGATTTTCCAAGAATTTTTTCAAGTATATTGGACAAGGTCAAGTAGCAGCTCAGTGAAAGCTCTGCAGTTTCTCCAACTCCAGAACCTTAGGTCTTTCATGACAGGCTACAAACCCCAGATATGTTCCCTGTTCCCATCTTTAACTAAGAAAGGGCATTTTGGAATACTAGATTTGGAGCTATTGAGAAACTGAATCCCATAGGACAAACTCCTATTCATCCCTCAAAACCCCAGCTCCAATTCTCCTTCCTTCAAGAAGCCTGCCTCCAGCCCAGCAGAACTCTCCCTTGCCCCTTGGTCCCCCAATCATATCCCCCTCAGCCTCAGCAAAGGGTTTTGTCCCACTAGGAAAGACTGACACAGTGACCATAGCCCATTCGTACCCGTGTGGCCAGCAGGTCCTGCTGGATCTGTGTCTTCTCCAGCCGGGGCAGTGCTGGGCCAGGCTGGGTCCCCAGAATGGCTTGCAGCATGGCTTCTGCATGGAGCACAGTGGGCATGGGTGCCAAGGTGGGGCCAGGCTCTGGGGGAATCTTCACCAGAGTACGGCACTCCTGGAGATGCTGCATATAGCCTCGGAGCTGGACAGCCATTTCCTGTGGTGTGGGCTTATCCACACTTCTGCCCTCAGCGCTACAGAAAACAGAAGGGCCTATGTCAACACTGGCAGGCATGGTTGTGCTAATTTCATGCCAACCCTGGTGGGCTCCATCATCTTCCATCTCACTGACCATGATGGATTCTACGTCATCTGTGGTGGGCCCCGTCACACTAACATGGTGAGCACCATAAAGTGGATATCCTAGTGGATACCATCCTCCATCAAGACAATATGGTGGGCACCATTACACCAACACAATGGGCACCGTTTCTCATGCCAATGTGGTGGGCACCATCATGTCAACTCAATAGACACCATCACTCAGTTTGCCAACTGTTTGACAGCATTATGCCAAATCTGGCAGCATTATGCCAACTCTAGTGGGTAACATCAAACATCAGGCCAACCCCATTAAGCACCATCATGCCAGTTCTTTTTTTTTTTAATTAATTAATTTATTTATTTATTTATTTATTTTAAAGATGACCGGTAAGGGAATCTTAACCCTTGACTCGGTGTTGTCAGCACCACGCTCTCCCACTGAGCTAACCGGCCATCCCTATATAGGGACCTGAACCCGTGGCCTTGGTGTTATCAGCACCACACTCTCCTGAGTGAGCCATGGGCCGGCCCTCCATCATGGCAGTTCTAATCAATGGTCACCATCATCCATCTTCATGCCAATCCCAATTGCTGTCAACCAGGCCAGCCTTGCTAACTAGCAACAGGACAAAACCAGTCAGGCCTCATGCCAACCCATCATGGTCAGTCAGTTCAATACCAACCTTACTGGGCACAGCCACACTAAACCCCCAAACGTGGGCAGCTCTGGGAGCTCCATTTCCCAATCAGGACCTCACTTACTAACCGGCACAGTTCCCAGGGTTGCCAGGGGTACCTTGGCTGTGGGTCCTGCAGTATCCCTCCATCTATGGCAGCTGCCTCTTGTGTCAGCAGCCTCCATGCTTCCTTCTCCGCTGCCTGCAGGTCACCCATGGGGGCTTCGTCCCCTGCTCTGGAGTCGGCCTCCCACAGAGCAAGCAGAGCCCTGTATGCCTCCTCACATTGCTCACTGTGGAAAACTGGTTCTGAGCACTTTGGGACAGCCAGCCCCATTTGCACTGTAGGTCCCAGTCCCCACTTGCTCTTGGACACCTCACTTCTCCTCCTGCACTCAGCCCTGGAAGCATGCCAACTTCCTCACCACCCCTGGACTAAAATTGCCTTAAATTAATTTCTGTGGTGGGGGAAGGTGCTCTTCTGTCTTTTTTTTTTTTAAAGATGACCAGTAAGGGGATCTTAACCCTTGACTTGGTGTTGTCAGCACCATGCTCACCCAATGAGCTAACCGGCCATCCCTATATGGGATCCAAACCCGTGGCCTTGGTGTTATCAGCACCACACTCTTCCGAGCGAGCCATAGGCCGGCCCTGAAGGTGCTCTTCTGTAAGGGCCCTGTCTCCCTCTGTGGATCAGAGACATCCTTGGAGAGCCCATTCCCTCCCCACCCAGTGACATCATTGGCAGGGTGCACTGACTTGTACTGCAAAGCCAGATGTAGTGCTGTGGTCTCAGCCTCCCGCTGGCCCAGCTGCATGCTGAGGCCCTCACAGTGGCCCTTGTACCCCTGGAGCACAGCTGACAACAGACGATTGAAGCATTTGAGCTTCTCAATGTTTCTGCCTCCAAAAGTGGAGAAAAGGGAAAGTGAGAGGCCTTCTGTGACAGTCAGGGCCCAATTTCCTCCCTCCTCCACCCCCCTAATCCAGTTCCAGACTTCTGGGTTTATAGCCCACCTGGGGGAGGCACTGGTGCCCTTAAGAGCTCAGCATTTGTGGCTCTTACCCCTGGAGATGTTCCCTGTGGACTTCCATGATGTGCATCTCAGGGGCAAGGGGTTGGGTGGAGAGAGATGTAAGTATCTGTGTGCTGGAATCACTCCTGAGATGATGGAGCAGGGGGTGACCCAGGGAGAAGGAGTCCTGTCAGGAAAAGGTGACTTGCTTCATACTGATAGTCACCAAGAGGTCAGGATTATGAGTTTAGGCCTTTTCCAATCCCACAAGCTACTGGATCCCATGACCAGGATTTGAGTCTCAGCCCCTTGAATGCTAAGGACATCAGGACCATGGGTTTGAGCTTCTCACACACACCTGAGTCCCCCAAGGTTCTCCATCTGCCCCAGAACTGCTGGAACCACTGCCTGAGCCACCGGCTTGGCTGTGGGAGGGAGGTGGGAAGGGGTCCTGCCTCAGCAGGGAGTCCTGGAGCTCCTGGACCTGAAGAGGGGGATGATGGGGAATGTTAGGCCTGGGGGCTCCAACCACCCACCAGACCTCCTCAAGGTCTGTTCCTGGGGTAGTGGCAAGAGCCTCAGCTGGAAAGTAGGGGCCCCAGATACTCACCCCACCAGATCCCTTATTATACAACCCTGGGCATATCTCTCACCTGCTCAAGTCTTATCTTTCCCAGCAGAGAAATGGGCCCCAATCTGGAGGGAAATGGATTTCCCACTCCTTGTTCTGGGTTCCCACAACCCCAAGCCTCTCTGCCAGCCCAACACAAGGGCTTCCCTCCTATGATCTTTCTCACCCACATGGCTTTAAAGGCCACTTACATGCTGAGGATGTCCTGATGTCTGAGCTCAGGACTTAGACGTAAAGCTTCTCCTTTGATGGCCCCATGAGGATGTCTCATGGGCATATTGAGCTCATCAGTGCCAAACAGCTCCTGGTCTCTCCCCAGCCAAACCTGCTCCTCCCCCAGCCTCCCCATCTCACTCTTCCAGTTCCTCAGGCCCCAATCCCTGGATCTGTCCTTGACTTCTCTCTGGCTTTCATTCCCACACCTGTCATCTCCTCCTTCAACATCACCCAGAACCTGCCCACTTCACGCCACCTCCATGATTTCCACCATTGATCCCATGTTTGGAATATTGAGGTCACCTCCAGGATCTCCAGGATTTCACTGTCACCTCCACAGACTGTCCCTCCCACAGCAGCCAGAGGGCACCTGTGAACACCTGCATTGGGGCACACCCCTCCTCTGCTCAGAACCCTCCATGGCTCCCATCTCAGAACAAAAGCTCAAGTCCTCCCCACAGCCCACAAAGCCTTGCATGGTCTGCTCCTGTCACCTCCCTGCACTCATCTCCCCCCACTATCCCTCTCACTCACTCTGTTCTAGCCACACGGGCCTCCTCGCTGTTCCCTGAACACACCAATCCTGCTCCCACCTTGGGGCCCTCACATATGCTGTTCCCTCTGCCTGGAATGCTCTTCCCCCATATCTTTCAATGGCTCATCTCCCTCTGGTCTTTATTCAAGTGTCTCCTCCCTGCTGGGCCTCTCTGATCTCCTTAACTAATATTGCAAGGGACCTTTGTCTGGTTTGGTTATTAAGCTCAGCAGTCAATACTCCAAAGATTTTTTGAACAAACACATGAATGAATGTTGCCTGCCTCCTCCCTCAGACAGGGTGCCCTAGAGGGTGGCATGGTCAGGACTGCCCAACTCACCTTTCTCTGCAGCGTCTCCTTCTCAGCCTGCATGACCTGCAGGGAGGTCTGAGTGCGGACCAGCTCGTCCTCACGGCTGCCCAGGGCCAGCCGCAGCCAGGCATTCCTCTCGGCCAGGCGGGCTGCCTCCCGCTGGCACCCCCCTGCCCCTTCCTGCTTCCCACCTGGCCCTGGCCCCCTCTTGCTTCTGTCCTCTGCCTCCATCAGCCCAGGACAGCTTGGGGGCTGGCGGCGCCAGGCAGCAGCAGCCGCCTCCAGGGAGCTCAGAGCATGCTGCAGGGTCTGAAACACATTGGGAGCCCCATTCCAGAAGGGGACAATCTCTCTGTCCTGTCGGGCTGCCTCTGGGTCTGGATGGGCTTCCACTGCAGGCTCGTGGGGCCCCTCAGGGGCTGAGGCCAGTCCCCCACAGGATTCCCCATCAGTCTCCTTGTCAGTCCTGTGGATACCAACCCAAGAACCTGAGCCACCCAATGCTGGGCAGGGGATTCTGGGGACCCTGGGAGGTGTGAGCAGGGCAGACAGCTGTCAAAGGCTGTGTGTTCTGCGGCTGGTGTCCCAGGGTGACACTGGGAGGCTGGGAGCCCAGGGAGGAGGCTGGATGGTAGTCCACGAGTGGGGCTGGGGCTGGGGAAGTAGGATGAAGAATGAGCTGAAGTTTGCAAGGTAAAGATGCACCCAGGCTGGAGTGGAGGGCACAGACTCAATGGATCTTACCTGCTTCCATGGGCCTGCCCACTGGCCTCTGCCACGTGGTCCAGCAGCTCTGGTCCAAAGTTCTCCTGAGGCGGCACAGGGCTGGGCTTGGAGCTCCCACTGGCTGCTTCAGCCTCCTCTGAACTCTCAGCCACAGGGTCCAGTTCACCCTGCAAGTGACCCCCAGGGCCCAGCTCTGAGCCAGGCATGGCTGGGCCTCTGGGTCCCATGGAGCTGGCTGAGGAAGGGAGTGGGGGACACTTACAGGTGGAGCATGCCTCCCTCGCCGGCTTCGGGGCCTTGTGGCCCGGACACTCATTGCTGTCCAGAAATCAGTGCCCTGTGAATCTTCCTCCTTCCTCACCCCCTAAAACCACAGTCTGCTTTCAGCCCTTGCCGTTGTTGTCCTGGGCAAATGACAGCCTCAACTTCCTCTTCTGTGAAATGGGGACTTGAATCCTCCCCTGGAAGGGATCTTGAGTTGTCAATGCTGATTTGGCACATTTGAATGCCTCCCTTGACAGGCAGCTCACTACCTTTCCAGGCTGCTCTGACCTCCCCATTCTCCTCTGCCTCCTGTACTTTCATTACTTCTGCGCTCCCCTCCCTTTGGTACGCGGGCCTGGGATGAGGACCTCAAGAGTCTCCTCTCCTTTCCAGGGCCCTCGTGAATCAGAAGCCCCCAATCCTGAGCGTTCCTCTCTTCCTCTTTTATTTCTCAAGAGCCAGAATGTTTCCCTGGGCTGACACTTTTCATTTGGCTCCCCTGTGAGCTTCTCCTCTGCCTGTCCCTTCAGTGTGATGTCACAGTTATCATTCACATCACTCACAGACAGATCTGGTTCAGTAAACTTGAGCAGGTGATGTCCCCCACCCCAAGCCTCATTTTCCCTATCTCTAAAATAAGAGGTAGGGGCTGGCCATTAGCTTGATTGGTTAGAGTGTAGTGTTGTAACACCAAGGTCAAAAGTTCAGATCCCTGTACTGCCAGCTGCCAAAAATATTTTTGAAATAAAATAGGGGTAATTATAACACTTTACTCACTCTGTGCATGTGTGTGTGTGTGTGTGTGTGTGTATGTGTGTGTGTGTGGCTGGCCTGTGCAGGGATCCAAACCCGTGACCTTGCTGTTACAAGGCTGCGCTCTAGACACGAGGGTTTTAACAAGCAGTAGCACATGGCCAGACACCATCGGTGAACCAAATTATGACACACCCTCCTTGTTCCCCTACAACTTTTCTCACCGCCTTATCTTTGCTTTCTCTGCTAGCTCCAGTTTCTCCATAAATGCTTCATCCCCCAGAGTCTAGATGGTTCCTACATCCTGCCCATTTTTCCTGCACCCACTGCTAATGGGCCTCCTTGTCTCCATTTATAGTCACAGCCCAGGCGTCTCTCCTCCCACCAGGATGCCAGCTCAGCTCACTCTTTGGGCTCTCTGGCCCTCCGTCCACTTCCTTCCCCACCCAGGCCCCACCCACAGAGATCTCAATGTTCCTCTCGCCCGCTCACACACCCTCCATGGCTCCCCATTGCCCTTGGCAGACATTTTAAGCTCCTCAGCCTGGCATTCAAGGCTCCTGCTGCCCGCTCCCATGCATACTCTGGTATCTAGCCACGATGATCTCCCCCATGGACAGTGGAAGGTTCCCAACTTTCTCACATTTCTGGGGCCTTTGGCCATGCTGTAACCTCTGCCTGAAACACCCTTTTCTTTCTTTTTTGCACTTGTTTTAAATTGTGCAGAGCCTGGAGTCTGACTCTTCCCACCTCTGTTTCTCCCAGGGAGCAAAAGCCAAAGGTGGTGGGGAGAGAAGTTGCAATTCTTTCCCTGGGGGGTACCTGGGGGGATCTAACTCCTCGCTCTGAGCCTCTCCTCCAGCCATATTAACCTGCTAGAGGCTCTAGGACTACTCTAAGGCTCATTCAAGCCTCCAGGCCTTTGTCCAGGCGGTTCCTTCTGCCGGGAATACCTCTCCCCCTCTTGTTTTTCTGGCAAATTCTTCATTCTTGATCCCTTTCTGTCAATTCTTAAATCAGAGCCTGGCTCATGTGGACAGGCCTGACTGACTCTTTTACAAATAAACGGAGGCTCAGGGTGGTTTTTATTTTTATTTATTTATTTATTTTTATTTATTTATTTATTTTTCCCTTTTTGTCTTTTTTCCTGCCCGGCTACGGGATCACAACCCTCGGTGTTGCTCCCGCACCTCGCTTAGCCAGTGAGTGGCCGGTCTGTATGTGGGATCCGAACCCTCGGTGGGAGCGCCGCGGCGCTTCCCAAGCGGCGCACTGTAGCAGTGCGCCACCCGGCCGGCCCTATTTATTTATTTATTTAAAGATGACCGGTAAGGGGATCTCAACCCTTGACTTGGTGTGTTCAGCACCACGCTCAGCCAGTGAGCGAACCGGCCATCCTTATATGGGATCTGAACCTGGAGCCTTGGTGTTATCAGCACCGGGCCACCGGCCGGCCCAACTCAGGGTGGTTTTTAAACGGTCTGAGGCTCAGGGGAGAAATGTGCATGAAAAAAAGGGAGGTTTAAAATGGCTCTGGCTTAGTATTTTTTTTTTTTTTTTTTACTGAGTATAATTTCCATTTTATTTTTTTCCAGAGAATAGTCTTTCTTCAGTCCTTATGAATTCACCTCCTTACATGGGCTTTGGTGGAGGTCGTGGGGCAGCACCTGCAGCTCTAAATCGTGGTGGGGGTGTTCGGTCCTTCCGGGCTTCACGAGATCGATTCCTGACAACCTTGCTGTGAATGGCACAACTCACACAGTAATGTAGCTTCACATACAGCTTGGGAAGCACATAGGCATCGAAGACACTCGCTTCGGAAATGTCCCTGACGGCTGCGGCCTCTACTATGTTTCGAATGACGAACTTCTTAATTGCCTTGTCCTTGGGCACGCATCGAGCGCAGTTCGTGCAGCGAATAGGCTGCACATGGCCGCGGCCTTTTTGGGCACGACCGTTGTTCCGTCTTTTCTTTGTCATTTTGGAGAGGAGGACTCGAGCTCTGGCTTAGTATTTTGATTAATGCGAATATATGTAAAATACAAAGCAGAATTAAGAAATTGGGAGGAGCCTTGGGGCCAGACCACGCCCACCTCTGTCCGGGAAAACCCGCCCACATTGAGGCCTTGGCCAGCTCCACCAATCACCAATCAGCTTCCCCTTTTCTAAACCCGGCCTAACTCGGCTCCACTCGGACGACCGCGCTGCAAACTAGGTCTTCAGGCCTCCGAGCCTATTGCGCTGCAAGCCCCGCCCCTCGGCCGCGTCCCAGCTTATCACGGTGGGAGTCCATCACGTGCCCAAAGCCCCCCCCCCCAGCACAGTCCCAGCCTATCAGCTTCCAACTCCTCCTGGTGGGTCTCGCCACTCGTTCTGCGGCCTCCTGAACTACATTTCCCAGAAGGCGTCGCGGCCGCGTCGTACCACTTTCGGCTGTAAAGATGGCGGCTTCCTGGCGAGTCGGAGGCTAGTTTGGAGGGAGGCTCGGGCTACGGTGAGCAGAAGTAGGGTGGTGAAAATGTGTGGGGCCCGTCCCCAGAGGCCAGCTCCCCTTGCCCCAGAGGTCCAGCCACTCATCTTCCCTGGGACTTCCGCCTTCAGCTCTAGTTCTCCTGTGCTGTAGCCTCCATCCTTCTGGCTGCAGCTAAATCTGTTTTCCTTAGAGGTAGTGGGGGCTCTAGGGAGCTTAAGGGACCATCCCAGAGATCGTAATCGCTTTATTCACCAATATTTTTTCAGTTTTAAGTGACAGAATACCCGATCTGGCCTAAACAAGGAAGGGAAGTTAGTGGCCTGTGGCTAGATTCGGGCGTAGCTGGATCCGGGTGCTCAGAAGTCGATCTGCCATTTTCTGGGTGGGTATCACTTGCTCCTCTTAGAGGCAAAAGGCGCTCCTGGAAGCTCCCTACTTCTGTCCCAGCTCTGCAACCCTAATGGGAGTCTCTTTTGGGGCCGGCCCGTGGCTCACTTGGGAGACTGTGGTGCTGATAACACCAAGTCTATGGGTTCGGATCCCATGTAGGGATGGCCGGTTAGCTCACTGGGTGAGCGTGGTGCTGACAACAACCAAATCAAGGGTTAAGATCCCCTCACGAGTCATCTTTAAAAAAACAAAACAAAATGGGAGTCTGTTTTCCCTAATGGCACTATTGGAAGTCCCTGATCTGCCCGTCATTGTCCTGCATTGTGTCATGTGCCCATCTCTGAGCTGTTGTGGCCAGAGAGCTGGGATGTGTCCATTTGCCAAGTGGGGAGGAGAGATGAGGTTAGCTATACGAAAAACAATGGGAGACTATTACATCAGAGTGGATGCTGGGCTGATAGGTGTAAAAGTCACCCATTCTACAGCTGAGGAAACTGACTCCCTGAGAGGAGGGACTTATAATCAGTAAGTGGCCCAAGGCCTGTCTTCCTTCTTAGAAACCAAATGTTTTTAAAACCCCCAAGAGGAAGATCCTGGCTTCCCCCATCCCTGCTCCATCAAGCCACACAGGAGCCATGGAAGTGGCCGAGCCCAGCAGCCCCACTGAGGAGGAGGAGGAAGAAGAGGAGCAGTCCGCCGAGCCTCGGCCTCGCACACGCTCCAACCCTGAGGGGGCTGAGGACCGGGCACTGGGGACACAGGCCAGCGTGGGCAGCCGCAGCGAGGGTGAGGGTGAGGCGGCCAGTGCTGACAATGGGACCCCCAATCCTCCAGGAGCTGGCCCCAAGCCCTGGCAGGTACCCCAGCCAAACCCTGAGATCCAGATTCGGACACCAAGGGTCAACTGTCCAGAGAAAGTGGTAAGTAGGGGCTTGGCCTGGGGCTGTGAGGTGCTAGGGAAACTTGGGTTAAACATTCTTATCTTTGGGGTTCACTCTGCAGACATTCCTTTGTCTTAGTTTCCTATGGCTGCCACATGTTACCACAGACTTGGTGGCTTACAACAACAGAAATTGATTCTTTCACAGTTCTGAAGCCCAGAAGTCCCAAATCAGGGTGGCAGCAGGGCCATGCCCTCTCTGCAGGCTCTAGGGGAGGATCCTTCCTGGCCTCTCCAGCTTCTGGTGGCTTCATGCATTCCTTGGCTTGTGGCCGCATCATATCTCTGCCTCCATCCTCACATGGCTTGCCCTCTGTCTCTGTGTCTTCTCTCTCTCTCTTTTTTTTTTTTTAAATTTTTTATTTTTTTCTTTGTTTTCTCCTCTTCTGTCTCTTTTTTTTTTTTTTTTTTTTTTTGACTTGGGGTTGTCAGCACCATGCTCAGCCAGTGAGTGAACCGGCCATCCCTATATGGGATCCAAACCCGGGGCTTTGGTGTTATCAGCACCGCACTCTCCCGAGTGAGCCATGGGCCGGCCCCTCTTCTGTCTCTTCTTTTTTTTTTTTAAAAAAAGATGACCGGTAAGGGGATCTTAACCCTTGACTTGGTGTTGTCAGCATCACGCTCAGCCAGTGAGCGAACCGGCCATCCCTATATGGGATCCGAACTCATGGCCTTGGTGTTTTCAGCACCGCACTCTCCCGAGTGAGCCACGGGCCGGCCCTTCTGTCTCTTCTAAGGACACTCATTGGACCTAGATAATCTTATCTCAAGACCTTTAACCTGAATTACATCTGCAAAGTCCCTAACTCTAAATAAGAGTTCAAGGTTCTGGATGGACATGTCTCTTGGGGGCCACAATTCAACCCACTATACCCCCTTTTCCATGTTTCTGTGTCAGATATTCTGTGGTTCCTTCATTTGCTCATCAACCTGGACTCCTAGTGCAGTGCTCTTTTCTCTGAGCCATCACCTTCCAAAGTGGATGGCTTGGCTGGGAATTGGCAGTCACCATGCCACCTTTTCATACTGGGCTGCTTGGAGAGGGCCTGCCGAGTGGTGGGGGGTATGGTGTTAACATCAGAGTGCCCCTCACCACCCTCCAACTTCCTTGCAGATCATCTGCCTGGACCTGTCGGAGGAAATGTCGCTGCCAAAGCTGGAGTCATTCAACGGGTGAGAGGGACATTTTGGGGCTTGAACATGCAGCCACGGCTGGGAGGGGCCAGCCCTAAAAAATATGGGCCCTCCCTCTGAGACTCGCACCAGCTTGGTCTGGCCTCGGGCCCGGCAGTGTCAGAGTAGCAACAATAGTTGATAATGACGTGGCTGGGGCCCACTGAGACTCTGTTCCAAGTTCATGAGAGCTGTCACACGCCGCCTGTGTCACAGCAATGACTTGAAGACTTTGAGAAACAAAGTGACTTGCCCAAGGTCTTGTGGCAACTGGGCAGAGCCAGGATTTGGACCCAGGCCTGGCTGACCTTGAAGCCCTTGCCTGGAGTCATGTGCTCCCAGCAGCTGGGTCTCTGTGGGGTCAAGCTGCAGAGCCTGGATAGGGCCAGAGGGGATCCTGGGAGATGCTGAGGATGAGGCCTCCTTTCCTTCATTGGCACCCACGACCACCCATGGCTGGAGGAAGTTCCAGCAAGGCCTCAAGGGGACCCATTTGAAGAGGGTGAGAGCTCAGCCATCGGCAGGGCTGGGTGTGCAGCTGGGCTCTGCCACCCCCTACTGTATGACCTTCCCCTCCAGGGCAGTATCCTGAGATGGGTGAGTGAAGGAGCCTTAACCACCCTCCCCCACTCTCTGTGCCTCCCCAGCTCCAAAACCAACGCCCTCAACGTCTCCCAGAAGATGATCGAGATGTTCGTGCGGACAAAACACAAGATTGACAAGAGCCATGAGTTTGCGCTGGTTGTGGTGAATGATGACACTGCCTGGGTGAGGCTGGGGCAGGCGCTGGGTGCTCTCAGGTCCCCTGGGGACTGGGAAAGACCCTGCTGAGGTCTGTGCTTCCCCACAGCTGTCTGGCCTGACCTCCGACCCCCGCGAGCTCTGCAGCTGCCTCTATGACCTGGAGACGGCCTCCTGTTCCACCTTCAGTATCCTTCCTGGCAGGGGCGCCCCATGGAGGGGCTGGCCCTCCCTGTTGTCCCTGGCGCCTGGGAAGCCTGAACTATAGAGAGGGCTGGCTTGAGCTGGCTCAGTTCATATCCCAGCTCTGCCATGACAGACTTGGGCACGTCATATTTCTGAGCCTCAGTTTCCCCATCTGTAACATGGGAGGTGCAAAACTGCCTATCCCGTAGGGTTGCTATGAAAATAAAGGATGTCCAAGTGCACCCACATGGGGAGTCCTTTGTGCAGGGCCCGACATACAGTCAGTGCTCGATAAAAGGCAATGTGTGCTTGAAAAGTCACAGTTGCCCCCTACAACCCCTTCAACCTGGGTACAGCACATTTTATGCTAATTTGAACATTAAAGGCTCATGGTTGGCCAGACGTAAATAGAATATGATCCCTGTGAGTTAAAAAGAAAACAGTGGTCAGTGTTGAGGGGAGGGAACAGGGACACCATGGCTCTTTCATATAGTGAGGAGAGGGGCCCCAGCCCTGAGGGAGAGGGGAGCTTTGAATCACCAAGCGTCTTTAGGTGTCCAATGCCAGCACCCTATTTTGTGATTTGTGCGGAAGGGAAACTGAGGCTCAGGGCAAGTGACTTAGCCATGGTCACACAATACTTCTCCAGTGGTGCCTGGGCTCTCCCGGCATCAGGATCAGGGAAGCTGCCTGCTCCTGCCCACCTGTGTTCTGCCAGTACCCTCCTTAGTATGCCCACCAGATCTGGAAGGTCTCTTCAGCCTCATGTAAGTAATGCTCGTTTACCTTCAAAGAGAAGGATCCCTTCTGGGTAGACACTCCAAACAGCACAGAAATAATTTTGGGAGCATTTTCTGACATCATTCCCAGGATCTTGCCTTCCCCGTTAGTCCTGTGACTGCCCTGTGGTCCTCCACCCTCATTGTTATAACCCAGGGATTGGTCATCTGTTTCTGTAAAGGACCATGTAATAAATATTATCGGCTTCATGGGCCATGTGGTCTCTGTCTTAGCCACTAAACTCTGCTGTTAAATAGGCTTGGCTGTGTGTCAATGAAACTATGGACACAAATTTGAATTTCATATTTCATGTGTCACAAAATAGAATTCTTTCTTTTTGGCAGCTGGTTGGTATAGGGATCTCACCCTGGACCATGGTGTTATCAGCACCAAGCTCTAACCAACAGAGTTAACTGGCCAGCCCCTGATTTTTTTTAACCACTTAAAAATGTAGCAACTGCGTTTTCCCAGTAAATGAACCCTGTTTACCTCTTCCTACTCTGGGGTTGATGATGCTGCTGACAACTCTGCCCTTCCAAAAGATGGGAAGAGACTGAATATTCCTTTCCTGTGCTTTTCTTTAAGGCTCTTTTTGTTTATTTTTAACCCATTTAACATTCATTCAATGATTTGTCTATTCATGGCCTTTGCCTATTTTTGTTGGGGGTGGGGGCTGTCACCTTTTTTCTTGTTGATGATCAAATTTGCTTTTTACATATTAAGGACATTAGGGGCCAGCCTGTAGTTCACTTGGGAAAGTGTGGTGCTGATAACACCAAGGCCATGGGTTCGAATCCCTATATAGGGATGGCCGGTTAGCTCACTTGGGAGAGAGTGGTGTAGACAACACCAAGTCAAGGGTTAAGATCTCCTTACCGGTCAGCTTTAAAAAAATAAAAATAAAAAATAAGGACATTAGTCTTCTGTCTGCTCAGTGTCCTTTGCCTGTGAGATCTGTCTGTGGCCGAGTGGGGAAGTGGGCACTGATTTAGTGTTTGAGGTCTGGTCCCTGCTTGAGGAACTCCTGGCCTGGTGGGGAGGCGTGTGCCACTAGACAGGTTTAACTCAGGGCAGTAATGGGGGGCGCTTAGGGCACTGGGAGTGGAGTGGTCAGAGCAGGTTCCAGCCTCAGGATCAGTGAAGCCTCCCTGGTGAAGCAGAAGAAGTCAATCAGAGGGGCGAAGCTGGGAAGCATTCAGGGCAGAGGGAACTTGGGAGGGGGTCAGGCAGGGCTTCACATGCCCAGTGAGGAGCTGGGATCTCCAAGGGTGACAAGAGGGGCAGACCCCCAGAATGTGCTCTGACCCATTCCCCTTCCCGGCTCTGCAGCCAGCAGAAGACTGAGCTGCCGATCACAGAGAATGTGCAGACAATTCCACCGCCATACGTGGTCCGCACCATCCTTGTCTACAGCCGTCCGCCTCGCCAGCCCCAGTTCTCTCTGACAGAGCCCATGAAGGTGGGTGAGGCCTGGGAGAGGGCGGGATGCCTGCAGCCAGCAAGGTGGTGATTAGACACCAGGAGGGACTTCCCAGCCACAGGGGCTGGGATGCCTAGATTCCCAGAGTCTGAGGCAGAAGCTGGGAAGTTATGGTCATGCAACCCAAGGAAGGTGTTCTTTTCTTCTGCAGAAAATGTTCCAGTGCCCATATTTCTTCTTTGACGTTGTTTACATCCACAATGGCGTGGATGAGAAGGAGGAGGAGATGAGCTGGAAGGTGAGAGGCCGCAGCAGGTGTGGGTGGCCAGTGGGTGTGGATGGGATGTCCCGTAGCCCACCTGCCCTGGGCCTGGGGTCTCTATCTCCACTGGGCAGCCCTGGAGCCCTGGCCCACGTGGATCATGGTCGTTCAGTCATTCATCACCCATTTCCCACGTGGCTGCTCTGAGCTAATGGTGACTGAATGAGGCAGGAGATGTAGGGACGGTGGCCCAGGAAGCATGTCGGGTCCTGCTTATCTTATCCCCAGTGACCCTGCCCCTCTTTCTTTCCATTTTTGCCCTTGCTCTGCCTCTGCCTGGAGCACCCTTCCCTCCCAGCCTCCCCAGGTTCTACTTGACCTTCAAATCCCAGCCCCCAACTAGCTGTGGGGCTTTTACTCTCTGTGCCTCAGTTTACCCAACTATGCACAAAGAGAGTTGAGACCAGCTTCTACTCGTACCTCAATACCCAAATCAAAAGTCCCTCCTCTGGGAAGCCTTCCTTGCTTCTAAAGAAAGATTAGCGAGGGGCCGGGGATGTGTCTGAATCCGACTTTGTCTCTTCACACTGGGGGCCCCTAGAGGGCCAGGACTGACACCTCTTGGGGTCCCCAACACTGGGTGGGTGGCAGGGAATGTTTGTTGCATGTGAATGTTTTCTGCTTGGCAAACTCCTCTTCAACCTTTAGAACCCACCCTAGATGTCCCCACTCCTGGGAAGCTCTCCAGGGACAGGGAAGGCCTGTTGGGGGTAACCCTTGCTTGAACAACCCCTCACTGGCCCCCCAGGATATGTTTGCCTACATGGGCAGCCTGGATACCAAGGGTACCAGCTACAAGTACGAGGTGGCGCTGGCTGGGCCAGCCCTGGAATTACACAACTGCATGGCAAAGCTGTTGGCTCACCCACTGCAGCGGCCCTGCCAGAGCCATGCCTCCTACAGCCTGCTGGAGGAGGACGATGAAGTCACCGAGGTTGAGGCCACCGTCTGAACTATCCCTGTACATCTCAAACTCCTCATACAATGAAACCCTTGGCCTAGAGTACTGGTTCTCAAAACTGGTCTCTGTGGGACCCCCGGGGGTTCCAGGAGGCGTATCTAGGGCACCTGGGGGGCCCTGGGAGGAAACCCAGGATTCCAGGAGGCATCCCAGGACCTCTGGGCACCTATCTCCAGTGTTTTCCAGCCCACACTCACTCCTAGTTTGTCAATTACAATTTTTGTTTTTCCTCGTATAATTTTTGTTATAAAAATAAAAATCTGAGAATCCCTAACCCAAGGCCACAACAATCTCTTTGTGTTAATTGGGATCATCTTGGTTGCAAGTGACAGAAAATCCCCCCTCTGATCAAACAGAGGCGAATGGCTTCTTGTGGATGAGAAGTCAAGGTCACAGCTTCAGGCTGTATCCAGGTGCTTGGACAACCTGGCCATTGGGGTTGGTGTTCGGTGTGTCCAGCTTTTCCCCCAACCCATGGAAAGGGGTGAGAAGGCTCCAGACCACTCCCCAAACCCCAACCTAGGCGGAATGAGTGCTCTCAGCACCCTGATATGATTGGACCTGTCTGGGTCATATGGTCTCCTGTTGAGCCATTCATAGGAAACTGATTGGCCCAGCCTGGATCACACCTGTCCCTGAGGGGGGATAAACAGATCAATCAGGAAATACTGTGGGTGCCCCCCAGAGAAGTGGAGGCAGACACAAGAGGTCCACCATTCAACCATCTTTCCAGATAATGAGCAATTGTGAAAAAAAAGTTTACCAGCTAGAGGGGAAGAAGACACAATCACAATAATTCCTTGAACTTGTTAAGGCAAGTGAACAGATATGATGTAGGGAGGGGGAGGTGAGTGACGGAGGGGGTAAGAGGAACGGGTAAAGGGTTATGAAAACCAACTATAATGTATATTGAGAAGTTAATAATAAAAGTTTACCAGCTAGATCTCAGATCCGTATGAAACGAAAATAGTTTTATTGAGTGACTGCTTTCCCTTCCTGTGAGCATTCATTGGGCACCTACTGTGTGTCAGGCCCCTGTGCTGAAACGCTTGTTCAGTCCTTACACCTGCCTCGTTAGGATTATTCTCCCATTTTGCAGATGGGGAGAACAAGGCCCTCAAAAGCCCAGCCTCCAAAGTAACGGACTCCCAGCTCCGCTGGATTGCAGACACAGCTGGAGGCGGGGTGTGGCTGCGGATTGAAGCCGCTCCTAATACAGGGTTGTGCGCGCTAATGGAGACCATGGGCAGAGGGTTCCAGGGGACTTTATGTCCTGTGGGCACCTCGTCGCCCCACCCCCTCCAGGGGGGTGCGTTCGTGTCCCCTGCTTTGGGATGAGATAATGGTACGCCCAGCGGTCTCCCCGCGCCCGGGCCCTTATCGGGGAGCCCGGGCCCTTATCGGGGAGCCCGGGCCCTTATCGGGGAGCCCAGGCCCTGCCTGAGCGCCACTCGGTGTCGCGGGGCCAGGGACACCGAAGCTCCGGAAGCCCGATGTGGACGCCACTGCGGCCGGGGTCAACCCGGCTGGGGACCTTGCGCTGCGCCCGGGAGCCGGCACC